AAAGTTTGAATTTTTTTTTAAAACCGGATAAATGGGTTTAGAAAATTCCGATCTACACTTGATAATCTCAGTGATTTAGTATTGACAATAGAGAAAGTTTTCTTTTAAGGAAGACGTACACTATAGTACGCTTTATAGACATCTATAATGCATATAATAACAATCTTAGAGGTCTTTTACATAACGTGGAGGAAATGGGAGTCGGATCTAATATTTGCACCTACGTACATAATTTTTTTAAGGAAAGAAATCTTAATATTTTAATCGATAACTCGTATTATGTCTCTAGGAAAACTTAGCCCAAGGCGATCCTTTATCACCTTTAGTGTTCAATATAGCAACTATGAATTTATGCAAAAAGATTAAAAAAAAATGTATTAATATCCCAATATGCTGATGATTTTGTGATATAAATAACTTGTGATAACTTTAGCTTAGGGACCATACGTATGCAGAGATCGCTAGATGAATCGAATAGTCATTTATCCGATATAAGGTTGACTGTATCGCCATCAAAAACAAAGATTTGTGTTTTCATGTCTGACTATAGAAAATAAATAATTAATTTAAAAATTAATAACATTGCTTTGGAAAAAGTTGATAGTATTAATTATTTAGGTGTTTGGCTGGATAAGTCACTAAAATAGAAAAAGCATATAGATGAATTAAAAGGTTAATTTATCTAGATGTTTAAAAGTTTTAAAGATCTTGGCAGTTCTAGTTGGGGTATTCATCCAGTGCACATGCTGCGACGTCTATATATTTCATTAATTCGTAGTAAAATTGACTATACCAGTTCTCCCAAAAACTACAACAAATTATGCAAAGAAGGATATTACATTTGAAGGATCACAACTCTATAACAAATTACTATCTACTTTAAAAAATGTAAGCTCAATTAACGGATTTAAATCTCAGCTCTCACAATATATTTTGGAAAATAACCAATTTAATAACATTTAATATACATACATCTGTAACTATATCTCGTTAACTGAGTACCTACTTATGTGGCGACTATTTGCATAATTTTTACTTTATGTAATTACGTTGTTCTCATGTAAGTGACTTTGTCCTTTTTGAGAATAAAAAAAATTCTTTTAACTTAATAGTTGCAAAACTCATCTTAAAAAGTTGGATATAGTTTAGAACCAATGTTTGAGAATAATCGGTGGATACATCAAAACCACTGCCACTCACGTGATGGAATGTGAGCTTTATCACCCTCCACTCCACATTCGTAGAATTAGGTACCTTGCAGGCAAATTTTGGTAAAAATCAGTTCCTTTAAAAACAATAATATAGTTTACGTATTAGATAGTTTTCACACAAATATTACAGATACTTATAGAGAACACATGAAATAAAAACCTTTATTACTTAAAATTCATGAAGCTTATAAATCAACCAATATTTTTTCTAGTGAACGGATGGAAATGTTTTCATTGAACTCTGGGTTAATAAAATAGATTTATCGAAAAGTATAAGAACAGACATCTGTTATGAATAGGTACAAACAGTTTTATAATCTCCACACATTGCATGAGGTCTGCATAAAGTTCATTAGTGGAAAATATTTTGATTTTTACAAAATCTATAATGATAGTTCAACGGATAATTGTGGGGCTACAGCAGCTTTTTGGGACCCGCAATCTAAGAAAATTATAACAACTCTAAATTCTAAATTTTTGATTATGCATATTGAACTCTTTGCTACTGCTGAAGCTCTGTCCTATATTGATTTCTGGGATTACGAGAAGTATTACTGGCTAATTTTTAAAGTGCTCTTTACATTTGAATCGGTGTACTCTAGCCTATAGAGGAATGCCTATAGCTTATGAAATGATTAAGTTATTAAGTAATCTCCATTGTAAAAATAAACAAATTGTACTACAGTGGGTACCCTCACATGTCGGCCTAGAAAATAATGAAATAGTAGATAAATTTGCAAGAGAAGCCATAACAGACCGTATTCCGTGTATACTATATACTTACCATATTGGTCAGATGTTTTGTTTTTAATAAAAATACAATGATTAGAAAACGTGGAAAGAATATCTTAGTGAAAAACTGTTACATAAAAGTATTGGGTATAAAACTATTCAACCTACCTATATATATATGACGCTTCTCATGAGTCAGCTAGGCCGATATGAGTAGATATGATACTGAAACTAGTTTTAGGCTTCGTTCGGGTCACCTTCCATTGAACTATTTTGCGGTTTTAATGGGTAAGTCAAATTCGACAGATTGCGCTGAGTGTGGGATTGTGGAAGATACTAATCATAATTTAATGAAATGTGTTCAGAATGAGGCAGGCAGAATATGTTTCTTTGAAACATGTAAGCTAAATAAAATGGATGTTGGTGTTTGTAACACCCCAATTGGGTCAAGCAAAGATGCCGTATAAAATTGTGCAATTAGTATTAAAAAGGTAGAATAGATAAAAAAAAAATGTATTTCCTATAAGGGTGGCATGGTCTTTACAATCAACCCCTATGAAAAATAAAAATAAAAAAAAAGTGTAAGAACATAGATTTATTTTTTGAACAAATCTATGAAATACTACTAATTATTATTTTTTATTTGTTAAGCACTTCAATTGATATATAACAAAGAGCTCGAGCGGATGTGCGCCGAGCATGAGTGTTTTGTATGACTGGTTGCTCAACTAGTTGGTAGTGAAAGAATAGAAGTAACTATCCTCTAGTTGAAGTTAGTGATATAATAACTATAAGACAAATAGGTAGTGAACCTGTCTGCATAACAAAGAGCTCGAGCGGATGTGCGCCGAGCATGAGTGTTATGTATGACTGGTTGCTCAACTAGTTGGTAGTGAAAGAATAGAAGTAACTATCCTCTAGTTGAAGTTAGTGATATAATAACTATAAGACAAATAGGTAGTGAACCTGTCTGCATAACAAAGAGCTCGAGCGGATGTGCGCCGAGCATGAGTGTTTTGTATGACTGGTTGCTCGACTAGTTGGTAGTGAAAGAATAGAAGTAACTATCCTCTAGTTGAAGTTAGTGATATAATAACTATAGCGATATCAGGTCATAAGACTTGGAGCAAGATGGTAGTGAAAGAATAGAAGTAACTATCCTCTTGTCAAGTTGTAGTGACAGGATAGCTATAGCGATTATGCCCTGAGATTTAAAGCAAAATGGTAGTGAAAGAATAGGAGTAATTCCTCTAGTATATTTAAAGCCTACCCGTGACTCACAATGACCTTTTTTTCATCAGGCAATAGAAGGATTAAACCGATCGATTCATGACGTACCGAACAGATCTACATCCCATCATAAAGCGGGAACTACAAAAGAACATGTATACCCCGCGTTCATTAAGAATTGTATCAACAAAAGACGTAGACTCCGGGGAGTATGGCACACCACCCACTATCTTAGAGATAAGACAGCCTCCAATAAAGCCTCACAAGAACTAAAGACGCTAACTAAAGATGTGGAAAATGAGAACCTACAATCATATCTCGCAAGACTGACACATACTAGTGACCCGAACTATTCGATGTGGAAGCCTACCAGAATCCTAAAGCGTCTAAAACAACAAAGTACATCATTGAGAACACAAACGGGTTCTTGTGTCCGCTCAGACTGTGAAAAAAAAAATTAAGATCGACGCTAATCACCTACATACAGTCTTCGAACCACTCCCCAGCAACAATCAAAATCTAGAAAATGAAATAGAGAAATACCTTAGGTCATGGTAACATACTGGGACCAGTTCTTTATTTAATATTTACATCAGATCTACCCTCTACGCCAATACCATTACAGCGATATACGCTGATGATACCTCACTTCTTTCGACCCATGAGAATCCCGATTCCTGAGACCCGATCTGTAAGACTCCAATCACACCTGACTCTCATCGAAGCATGGTTCCAGCAGTGGCGCATTAAAGCGAAAAACAAATAAACCGATTCAAGCAACTTACACATTTAGAAGGAAAACCTACCCTTCTGTGAAAGAGAGATCCCACAATCTGATGACGCTAAATACTTAGGTATACATCTCGACCGTAGACTCACTTGGCGCAAACACATATGGACTAAAAGGAAACAGCTAGACACAAATTCCGCAGCATATATGGGCTCATCAGTCGTAAGTCATCGTTGGCAAATGACAGTAAAATGGCTATCTAATACCTATAAAGCTATACTAAAGCGGAAAGCCTATATGGAGTTGTGCATTCAGCTCTGGAGTAAAGCCAGCCATAGTAATATTGAAATACTCGAAAGGTTTCAGAGCAAAACAATGAGAACCATGATCAATGTTCCACCAAATATAAGTAATAAATATGTTTACCTAGATTTCAATCTGCAAATAGTGAAGGAAGATGTCGAGTTAAACAGCAATAATTATCAAGCCAGATTGGACCGACACATAAATAAATTAGCTGCCGAGCTGAAGGGGGTGGGCAGTCTAAGATTCTCTCGCCTTAAGAGAAATAGTAAATCGAACCTAGCGACTAGATTCACAGAGTGAAGATGAGGATTGTACCACTGGGTGCACGCCTCTACTGAAGATACATTTACCGATAAAAATCTAACAGCATATTTGATTATTAAGAACAAACAGATTAGAGATAGAAATAGAGAGTAGCAGGATTCAACAAACTTTTTTTAATGTAAGATGAGTGAATTGTAATGAATTGTGAAACTTTTTTGACTTAGTTTGGCCTAAAACGAAGGGACTCGTTATTGTAACGGATGGCCGACTGTAACATTTAGTTATTTTATGTGCCAGTTCGTAGATTTTGAATATAGATGTTTGATATGTCAAGTGGACAGTCGGTGATTCGCATTATATGAGTTAGGAATATAAAATATAAATGTAAAATGAGTATACAGAAAAAGCGAGAAATATAATTGTTAATTGCCAAATATTTGTCTTCCTGGAAAACCCTTCTGAGCTGTTTTAGTATATTATAAGGTATCATGAAATGATTTTTTTTTCTCTTTATAGGTAACGGCATCATGAGGAACAAATTTGTAGACTATACACGGCTCGCTTTACTCTTGCTACAGTCATCATTTGTTCTCAGTAAGTATTTTCACTTCGTTTTGATATTTACTAGCTAGCTTCGGCTTCAAGTTGGTTTTTTATTAATTTTACAACTTATAATACCATCTGTCACACAAACTTCTTATTCTTTTATACCTTCCATGTTAAGTGGTTGAATTTCATAAAATCTTTTCTTACCGATTACTAATGTCGTTATAGAAATAGGTAGTACTTAAGTTTTTTAGTTTCTTAATTGTCTACACATATTATAAAATTCTAACTTAGTCAAATCTGTACATTAAATATTTTTTGGAAAATCTTTAATGATGAAATAGTCATTATTATCAGAGGCCGAATCTATTTTTAGAATTTTTGTCTGTCGGTCTCACCGTCTGTCTGGGAACGCATCACGAGAAAACCACTGGACGGATTTTGATAAAATTGGGTATGATGATATTTTAGATAGGTTATCCGGGTCAACATATAGGATACTTTTTAATGTGGCAAAATATCTCATCTCTGAGAAATCTATACTAACCGTTAAAACGTATCTATGGACGAACCCGAGCGGAGCGAGGGTGAGTCGCTAGTAACATGATATGAAAACATTTTTCAATTAAAATGCAAATCCGTTACACAAATTACATCATTAATTAATCCTATCAATGGGCTTCTAAGAAACGATAGATTAAATATTACCGTTTTGTACACATTACAATAGAAGAGTATATAATGTATACCAGTCACTTAACACACAATACATGGGAGAGCAAATGGCAGGAGCTATTTGCTAGCACTTCATTGTAAATGTGTGGAACGTAATTGCTTAGACAATCCTATTGCATTCGAATCGGTGCTAGTCTTGTATTCCCAGAGAAACTTCCGTAAGTAGCCGTTACTTGCTCCTCATCGTGTATGCATTATATTATAATGAACTATAAATGTTAAATTTTAAATAGCACCTAAGAATAAGAAGTCTGTGTTTTGCAACGTCATTTAAGTCTTAGAAGCTAGAAGAGTTTCTAAGACTGTTAATAAATTTTTGATTAACGAAGTTTAAATTTTGTGGACTGTCCTGCTTACTGTAATTTTATTTTACTATAATAGAAATATAATGAGTACCCAAAAAACGTTTATCGTACGAGTAGGTACTAGGTATTTATTATTTCATTTTTGTTTTAGGTCGACTGGCATTCGAAAAACTGACAGATGTGGATTTTGCGGGCACAGCGTACTACACTGTACGGAACTTGTCGCTTTACGAGTGTCATGGCTGGTGCAGAGAAGAGCCCGACTGTCAGGCAGCCGTATTCAGGTTTGCTTAATTGAATTTGTTCACATACTCGTAAATCTGCATCTAAAATACTATAAATTGAATTTATAATGAATTCACTTATTGAGCAGCAATCTTATTCAGTTGTTCATAAATATTTTTAATTGTAAGATATAAAAATAAATGGTAGCCCCAAAGCTTTAAGATAAAATTGTAATTATTTTAAGTACTGTTTGAAAGTTGTTTTCTAATCAAAAACATGACTTGTCATTCTGTGAGTGATCACAAATAGTGAGCAACGTATCGTAGATATCTGAGATCACGCTTAACCCAAATGTCAAAGATAAAATCGGTTTGACGCGAGGATTCACTAATCGTCGGTCATCGTGGAAATCAGACATAATGGTATGACCATTCCTTGAGATGTCGGATGTTGAAATGTGTGTCAGTCTGCCAGTTCAACTAAATCCTAAGTACTTGTAGCATTCCAATGACACGGTGTTGGCTTATAACAATGTACTTCTCGCCGCCACAAACCGTGTAAAAGCGGAAACCAACACTCGCTCTAAATTGGATAACAGTAAAAGTGATCGCATACGTCTTCAATAGATTATTGCCAATGAACCATTTGCATTTCATGTCTATTGGCGGTTTGAACTCATATTCAATTTAATATTATTATCCGATTTTATAACGGAAACGGAATTGCTCAGAAAGTTGGTAGAGAAATCGTCGTTGAATAAAAATGTATGACATTTATTTATTTAAGATTTAAATAGAAAAAAATGTCACACATGTAATTAGGGTTCTTGTCGTATTTTATGTTGTTACAACTATCATATTATGATTATGAGAACTTAAATTTAAAACTTATTTAAAAGTATCTTAAAAACGTATTTTGTTATGAGTTATTATTGTAAAATAAATAAATAAAATATTACCTTTTTGCGATTCTTTAGATAAAAACATTTTAGTCAGAATGAAAGTAAAATTAAACATTCCTTGAAATTGAATATAACGGTACTAAAAATAAGTAGGTATCAAATTCAATTAAACGAGACCAATCTTTCCTCACTTCTAATTTAGCTTTATACTAATAAAACGTATCTCAAATCAATCTGTCCAAAGAAAAAGCGATCTGACAAAAGAATAAGAAGAAGGCAATATTAACAATCGGTAACTGTTCCCCATGGTGCCACTGCGTTCCGAGCCTTATAAGAAGATAACGAGCCGACGCTTGCTAGAATAACGCACCGTATTCCTTATCTCATACATTATAATGAACTTTAACAGTTATTAGTAGGCAAGAAATGTTATAGATTTTGAGATTTCACCGTCTCTGTTAGTCATGTGAAAAGGCACATTAAATATGAATAATAATAAGCAACGTTTAATAAATGTGTATGAATGTTTGTTCTGTTCTCTTTTTTGCATTGCATTTGAAGTTGAGTCTGTTTAAAAAGCTGTTATACTTATTCTTACAGTTATTTAAAGATAAATTACATACAGATTTTTGAATCGGATAATTGTATTCTTAAATAGTTTTTTTGCATTCAAATTCTATTACTGCGTTGTCTTTTCTAATCTAAAGGAAAATGAATCGAAGATATTAAACTCTATTATTTTAAGGATCGTGACCTGCTATACATTTCGCTGTCGGGATTGATAGCATCAGAAAGATGTACGTGGTCAGATTTTATTGATTTATTTCATATCTGATCAAAATTTGTTCCGTTATTACATGATGTGAACAATTACTATTAAGCTATAATATACATACCTAATATAAATTACATGACATAATGTTGAAATCTAATTTAATAATAATAAATCAAAAGATACAAGTACCTATCTGTATACGACTTAGAAAACTACTTTATAGCATCGGAATGCAAAAGGTGTTTTAGAATGATCAACAATCGTGTGCACTTGTTTCGTTGGATTCGTGCAGTAGTCATTTATTATCGTAAACTGGTCATTAATTTATAGTCAGATCAAAACATATTGAAGTATTTAGAGAGTGAGATTAAATGCATTGATACGCGCGTGCTACTTTACAATTTTATCGGTGTGTCTGTGATTGATGCCATGTTATATGCGCGATCAGGCGCCGGTAATGATAGGAGGCGATTTTATAGATCTCTTTAGAGCTAATGTGTTTGGTTTAAATTTTGTACCAGCATGATTTGTTTTGCTTAGTTTTCATATTTGATCTAGTCAGATATGAAGAACGCATTTTTTTAAATTATTGCTTTTGAAACTTTAAATATTAATTTATTTTATTAATTTAATTTTTTTTATATAATATTCAGAATAAATAGAACAGGGAACGAGAATTCTAATAGATAAAAAGTAATTTGATACACATTTATGGTGTTAATTGATGAATGTAATTAGTTTAAATTCAAATAAGTTACTAAATTAAGAAAAAAACTAAGTTTAAGTTTACATAAAATTGTTCAGTACTATTTCTTCGTAGCGTCAGTCATTTATATTATAAGAATGATGTCGTATGGATCACTTTTACCAATCTAATCTAAGTAGGTACACCGTAGCCGCGTAGCGTAAGATTCTTTATAGTGGTTGCAAAATCAAAATGATATTCAACATCATTACTCTAAGGGCTTAGTGCATTAATCATATTTTTTACTGACGTGTAAGTATTTTGTCTGTACATCATCAAACTTGCTACTCTATGAATAATAATTTGTAATTGACCAAGAATATAGATGCAATGTTAATATTTTTAAATTAATGTACTTTTGTATTTTGGAAGAACATGTACGATTATGTTATTATTATTATTTATATATTTTTGAATTTTCTGTATCTATAAGGAATTAAAATTTGTTTTATGTTGCATCAGATTGGACAGACAGGATCTATGTACTGAACAGTGAACTATTAGAAGAGACAGAACAGTTTTTGCAAAAATTGAACGTTTGCCGGAATAGCAGAATAACTATTAAAACATCAGAAAAATTCACGAAAAATAATTTAAAATGTATATGGCTAACGCTGGCTGATAACTATTTATATCTATGTATCAGTGACGAAGCGTCCATACAAGATGTCTTACCTTAAATTATTTTACTATAATTTTACATACATTTAATTTTTTAAATGTATAAATGTTCTTTTGGAAATATATATATATATATATATATATATATATATATATATATATATATATATATAGCTTTATTTCTTTTTGCATTAAAAATCCCGAGCGAAACGAGAGTGAGCCGCTAGTATTGGAATAAATAACTACTTTTATATTATAACGGTTCACTTTACTTCATTTTACTTTATAACAACAGTTTAAGTGCTACCTATAAAATAAATGGTAGTAATGTAATTTTAAATTTAAGCGTTAGCGTTTTCCAATACGAGTATTATTGCGGAAAAAGAACATTAAGCCGTATTTTTATATTTTACTTTGATAATAAGACTTTGCGGTAATTTGATTTATATTGTCTTAAGTACCTAAAACAGATAATTTTGTATATTTAACATGTCAAATATCCAGGACGTTATAAAATTTGTCAAATATGCGATTGGTTTTAATTTAATGTTAGGTTTAAGTTAGTCCTGTTATACTGCTCACGCTAAGATATAAAATAACAAAATATCAGGTTGGAACGGTAAACAGCGCCGTTATGCAGGCTGTAAGTGTAACGCGCGATCTAGTGTCATTAAGACGAATGCAACGCATTAATGTATACCCTTTTAGTAAGAAAATATTATCCCAGTGTTAAACACGTTATAAAGTTTATATGACATACCTTTTGTATTGCTTTTTTGTCCGACTGTCCCAGAAGGAGGGTAATGTTGTTTGAATGCATGTACATATGTCCACATAAACATACCGTATGTCTAATTCTTTGGCACGATTGCAGTTGCTGGATGCATTTTGATATATGTTTATTGTATTTGGATTTCATTCATCTTAGGTATTGGTGGGGACTAACCCATGATTTATACTATTTAATTTTGGCGTTTTAGAATCAAGAACTAGACAAATGAGACACATTTTGCTACTACAATAATGAGGACATTATAAAGAAGCTAGTAAATTACCCAAGCCTAACCTAATATAGATTTAACGCAAAATACGGATGAGTCCGTTAACAATGGGGATAATAAGAGATAGAGATAGGAAATTATTCCTATGATATATTTAAGCATCGACTTATTTTTATTTCGTTAGTTTTCTAACCTACCTTAAAGTTTCATAAAGAATAGATTATGAAGTTTTACTTTAATTAATTATATTTCAGTTCTGAGTTAATGGTTTACAGAATGTTTTGTAATTATTTAATTAACATTTTTATAATTATAGAGACATATAAAGAAAATAAAGTACATTATTCACATTAATTGTAATAAGTATAACAACAGTGATTTTAGAAGAAAAAAAAAACATTCTGACTGTAAATTATTTAAATATTTTTATATGTGACATGGATTTAATCCTTAAAATTTGAGGACGGAGAAATTTCATTGTTAGATTTTCTGTTAGTTATTTTTTAACGCGAATACCGCTTCTCTGCGGTAGCCGGTCCCACTTCCCGGTGCATTGCTCTCTATCTCGCCTAGTAAATGTTAAATGGCACTCTTCTAAATTATATATTTTACAATCCAGAGATAAATATCATATATTTTCCGCACTGAGTCCGTTCGTAGCGGACTAGATATCTACACCCTATATTAAGAAACCAATGACTCATAGATCTTTTCAGATATTATTTACTCGCCGCCGATCGTATATTATGATTTATTATATTTTGTTATAGTTTCGTGCTGAATCCTTTAACTCCGGTACAAGAAACGCGTTGTTTGCTACAAAATGATACTCAAGCCAACAATCCTATGGCTATACCACAGGTACGTAATAGTAACTAATATTGGTTAGATATAATCTTACTTCTTACTATGATAATAGTAACTAATATTGATTAGATATAATCTTACTTCTTACTAATACATAAATGCGAAAGTTTGGATGGATGGATGTTTGTTACTCAATCACGCTAGAGCGGCTGAACGGATCTGAATAAAATTTGGCATAGTGATAGATTACGTATAGTCTGGAATGTGGTTACTTTTTATCCCGGAAAAATGTACGGTTCCCGTAGGATAGATTTAAATTTGTTTTTCATTAGGGACGAAACCGAGCAAAGTGAGAGTGACCTAGTAACTTGTAATGTACAAAAACATGTAGATATTTTTGATTAGTGCTTATTTTTTTCTATACGTAAGCTATTAAATGAAGGAAATTTTATCTACATTGGGATCAAATGATTAAACAATTTATAAATAAATTAGAATACTAGTAGACAGAAAACTTGTAAGGACTCGCTACTCTGGAGGTTAGATAAGGTACAGTAGATATAGTTCATACATTGTGAATTTTGCTTTTAGTATTTTATTTTATAGGTACTATGAGTTTTGACTATAAATCTTTTAAATAAGCTTTCTGTTCTAGATACAATGCATAGAATGGTGAATAAAAATATGTAGAGTTACATTGTATTGTAGTCTAATACGCCTATCTCTATATACGAGTATCTATTCGTTGGCCTATACTGCCAATTAGTGTTGCTATGCCGAGATTATATTAACAATTCAGATTAAATCGGTTAACAAGCTTTAAGATCCCGGAAAAGCGCAGCCCGTGTAGAAGCTCTATAAGTTCTGCATTTGTATTCATATTAAACGTTCTAGGTTTATTCCTATGCATTTCGAGTTGCATATAAATCTAGAATATTCTGGCTATAAATTATACTACAATCCATATCCAGCAATATTAATTATTTAGAAAAAAAAAATATTTTATCTTATTGTCTAGTTTAGTTCTTTAAATTATGTGAGTACAAATAAGTAATATTGGTTTCCAATGATATCTGCCAAGTAAATTACATATACTCGTATATAACAAAAACGTGTTATTCATCTGATAGGCGTTGTTCTACATTAAGTTAATGCAAAATTGATTAAGATGAGCTTACAGTTTCGAATTGCAGTAAAAAGTAGTGAATACACTTTCAGAACTAATGAGCGCGGCCGGACAGTAAATTCTGTGTTAAGTGATGCATCTCGATACATTACGTCTTTTGTTTATTTTATGCAAGAAAAAGGAAAATGTGCGCGTGGGTACGGGTTTTATTACGTGTGTCGTAGGTAACTTACGAAGCAGGTTTTGCATTGATATAAGATAACTATTACATACACCTAGATGTATTAAACAATAAAACTTGATAAAAATAGTTTTTTATTACACAGTATGCGCAAAGATTGCCAGATAAATACACGCTATGGGCTACGCATGCATTTGTAGTTCATTTAGCTCTAGTTAATACTTTTGTTATTGGTATTGTATAATATAAAGAGGTTCTATATGAGATATTAATTCTCAATGCTGTATAATAAAGTCAAAATGTTTATTACGATAATTTATAAATCATTTTTTACAGCGTTCTGTCAATACATACTACATGGTGAAACTTCAAATCAGATCAGAACACTTGTGTTTGCGGCCTTGGGCATTTGAAAGAGTACCAGGCAAAGCGCTTCGGGGACTCGACAATAGTATAATATACACTTCTACGAAGGAGGCTTGCCTCGCTGCTTGTCTCAATGAGGTAATAAGTCCACTTAGTTGAAATTCAATAACCCGTCATTTAAATGAGCATACCGTTTGAAGACATTTGTCTTTCCACTGTCTATAAACACCTATTCGAAGTATCTATTCAATTTATATTTTACGAGTCTGGTTTACTTTGAGAGAGATAAAAGAAAATGATACGGGTTTTATTGGGAACAGGGGACTAAAGCAACTTGCAGCAACTTTGTTAGTTTATGGAAAATCGATTACGATTTTATGGGACCGCTTAAGTGCAGTGCACTAACCATTGTTTGCTTGTTTTAAGAAATATCTTTTATGAAATTTGTTTTATCCAGATGCAATAAGAGAAAAGGTACATATTATTTGTACAAAAAAGAAGATTTTAAATAAAATTTATGGTCCACGCTGTGAACCCTTTTTCATTCGGCATAATATATTCCATACCTTTATTATAAGAAAGACAAAGATTAGTTTTAAACATAACTTAAAGTATTTATAGTTATATCTTTATAATGTATGGTAACAGAAAAAATTCGTCTGTCGGTCCGCTGAGTACGAGTACGGGAGTATGCGATGTGCACTTAGCGACTCTGATAGGCGCACATCTCAACACTTTGCACCTCTCGTGGATACGCCGGGAACCGATTATTTTGAGGTAAATTTTATTTAACAACTTAGACGTAATATTTATTGATCGTTTATTACTGCACAAGACAGAAATAAAATAACTATTGCATAATTTATTGTTTACTCTTCTCATGTCTTGATAAATGGTATTTTGATATAGAATAAAACAAATTTATGTATGAATAATAGAAATACTCAGGCTTAGTTGTCATTCAAATGCTGCCATTGCAATGGTAAGGTGAGCTTTTAAATTAACTAGTGTTCGTTCAGTGGTCGAAATTCGAGCATTATCATTTTTGTTGATAACACTAAAGCTCGTCAATAGCTAGTAAACAAAAATAAAAGAAAATCGGTTGACAAACAGAAGAGAAAAAGGTACTGGACTGTTTTGTCTTTGCCTATTTATGTATGTATATATCGATATAAATAATGACATATAAAGAATAATGATCATTTACGAGTATTGAATATTGATAAAATCGTTGAAAAAAATAAAAACAAATATAAACTAAACATGTAATGAATAAACTGGATATTATTATTAGGTATTATATGTGAAATTTACAATACATTTTACATTTCATAGAAACTATTTGTTGCTATTATGTTCTGAAATCGATTCCAAGAACGTTAACACTCGTAGTGTGAAAACTGATTATCGGAATTACGAGCTATTTGTGTGGTGCAGAATCTGTGCCTGAAGGGAACGCAAGCGTGCAATGGACAGAGGGTGTATACTGCGCCGCGTGTGGGAGTTGCCGAGGACAAAGTAGCGCAGTACGCTGGCTTACATTACTACACAGATAAGGAGTTACAGGTATTTTTTGTTTTTTTTTGTAGACTTATCTTGTTATTTAACGTTATTAAATATAAGTATTTTTATAGTTAGTATAAAAATAAACATTTAAAACTTAATGTTAATAAGATTCTACTTTACTTTTATAGTCATATGTGTATTTAATCTAGCTGTATATGATAAATATGTGGTTTATTTTGAGATTTATATAAAATTACTGTAATAAAACGAATGTAAGATTTTTATTCCCCACCTTGTGGGGGAATAATTGTGATAAATTCATGTTGGTGCTTGTAAAATAACAAATCGGTCTATACACCCAATGAAACAATTTATTGTTTACCTAAAGTTTACAATACAATAGTACGTACCTTCCCATACATTACAATTTGTTTTTGTTATAATTACAGTGACTGTCATATATAATATAAATATAAATGTTTTCGAAATAATTCTTTGCATGCAGTGATATATAATATTTTTTTATAGATTTTTTTAATTTAAAATCAAAATTAGAAGTCCCGCAATAAAAATATAATTGCAGTAATAAAAAATATATCTATTAAGAATATTTTTTCTTAAGTATTTCAGATATCGACCATAAATATTTCAGATCTTTAATAGTCTCAAGAATAAAAAAATACTTACGACTTTTCTTGTTAAAAACCTCTTGACTAAATTTATTGCTAAGCGATATTCTTTTTCCAAACAAACTGTACCATAGATCATTATGATTTGATTAATTATTATATTTGAAAGGCTGAATAAGTGATGCTATAAAGGCCTTGTTTTCACTAAATGTTAATAAAGAAATTCACGTCATCTATTCAGCCCTTTTTAACGTCCCACTGCTGGGCCCGGGCCTCCCTTCAATACGAGGGGATTAGGCCATAGTCCACCACGCTGGCCAAGTGCGGGTTGGCGGACTTCACATGTCTTTCGAAAACTTGCTAGGTTCTCTCAGACATGCAGGTTTCCTCACGATGTTTTCCTTCACCGTAAGGCAAGTGGTCATTATGTTAGAAATGATTCGCACATGAAAATATCAGAGGTGCGAGACCCGGGATTTGATCCCGCATCACTCGGTTTTCCAAGCGAGCGCGTTACCACTGGGCTACCACTGCCTTTATTCAGATTCACGTCATATTGAGTTTAAATTAAATTAAAATTGTTTTCTTAACAGGTGACATCTGAATCCGCATGTAGACTCGCATGTGAGATCGAATCGGAGTTTCTTTGCCGTTCATTTCTGTACTTAGGCGCGCCGCATTCAGCTACATACAACTGTCGCTTATATCATCTCGACCACCACACACTGCCTGACGGACCCTCGGCCTATTTGAACGCTGAAAGACCCCTCATTGATGATGGAGAACCTATTGGGAGATACTTTGAAAATTTCTGCGAGAGTGAGTATCAATGAAATTGAAAACAAAATTTTCGTTTATATTTTCTAATCGTTAAATATTTATTTCTTGTACTGTAAAAGTCAATTAATTTTTTTATAATATAAAAATATCCTATGTACGTCTTTATGAGATCGAATCACCAACTCTAGATTTTCTAGACATTATTAGATTATTTCATTCCAAATATTATTTTAATCAGAAGTGTTAGTAAAGATAGTATAATATTTAAAAATTGCAATCTTTAATGTTGGGTTTATCTAACATATTATGACAATTCTATCATCTAATACTACTATTATTAGTGCTTTAATTAAAGCGATTCACATAAAGGTAATATTTATAAAATATACTCGTGGCATTCTGCAGTTTTTATCTGTTTTAATTCCATTACACATATGCGTAATGGCAAAATAATATCATGCAGTCACGATCGTAAAAACGAGAAATACTTAATATTAGACATAATTACGTAGCCACTGGCGCCTGCGCATCCGTAGTTACCGAGTAATAGTCTTTTGATCTATATGAGAAGATTTCAACGCAATCCAATTGACGCACATCGCTCTTTAATTAGAAATGGATTTATAATACTTTCTTAGATTTACACGAATATTTCATATCGTTTAATAACGTTTATGAGGATGTTTGTTACTCTTTCACGCAAAAACTACTTAATTAATTTTAATGAAACTTTACAATAATATATAGACTACTTTTAACCCCGAAAAAATGTACAGTTCCCGTGGGATAGATTTGTTTTTGTTTTTCCGCTAGTTTTAAATAAAACTATTTTTTCGGATTTTTTCGCGGATTTATTTGGGTTTTTGATTCATACATCATGGTTACGGGAGAGACTCGTGGATTTATTTGCATTCAAAATCAATAAACAAAGTCAAAGAAGATTGTTGCAATTATTGTTATGTATAAAAATACACATCGTATTCGGAAAAGATTTTTTGACTTTTTTGATGTTTTTTGACTGCCAATAGTATTGAATAAAATCTTAAGAAAAGCGTGAGTAGGTTATAGGGTACTTGTATATGAGCATCATTTTAAGGTGATTTACGTAACTAACTAACCAATGAAGCCTCACGTAAATTTTAAATCTATAAACAGTCTCTCCCGTGACCATGATTGCTGTAAAGCATTCGAAACGTCGGGAAACAAAAATGCAAATAAATCCGCGACAAAATCCGAAAAGATAGTTTTATTTAAAAAAACTATAAATTATTTTAGAAAAGTCATAAAATGGAGTTCGCATAATATATTGAAGATGAATATTTATTTAATTTATTAAGAATAAGTTGGGCTTCTATAAAAATCAATTACGCAAGATAATGAATGATGAATAAAAATAGAATGGCGAGTCGTTGACTAGTAAGATAATAACATAGTATAGTTAATAATAGAAGCGAAGTATAGAATTAAATTTTAAATTGTGGAATGACGGCATTTTAACTCCTTATTTAATATTAGCAGAACCCGCGTCTTCGCCCACGATCAAACTACGAAAAAAGTCACTTTTTTGCAATATGTATTGTTTTTCAGGCGTGTTTTGTATGCATTTATGTATGTTTCTATGTATATTTGTTTTCTTTAATACCTCGTATCTTTCAAACGGCTGGATGATTGCGACAGTTAAGGTATCGTTAAATTCGTCTCAAAAACCCAAGTGTCCTTAAAAATCCTGATAGGTGTTTTAAAAAAAATCAAAATGGCGGATTATTGGCGCTCTGGATTTACTACGTCCGAATTAATTGAAAGGGTAAATAAACGGTAATAAAACTAAAAATGTCTAACTGACCAAAGCTAAAAAATTGTAAATAAAAAATAATTTACAAAAATAAAAAAACCGATTTATCCGAGCTTTATCCTGTCTTACTTTAAGAAAATTATTGCCTGATATGTCTTTATTATCTATAAAATGCACTATTATATTTTAACGCTCATTATACGCTAGTATTTTTATCTAATTTAAAATTTTATTGCTTTTAAAGTTAGATATACGTATTTTTCTATAAAGTTAGTGACATTATGTAGAGGAAATGAATATTAACGCACTCTCGTATAAATCAGATTCAGTTCTAGAAATTAATCCTTGTTTGATTAATCCTACCGTGTTAAATAAAAGATCCCATATATGGCACTGTGAAAAATCTTAACACTACGTATTAAGAATTCTCATGTACATCAAACCACACTCAGAGCAATTAATATTTACAGCGCGCAAATCCCGGATGTGCCTTTGAATCACCTGCAAATACGTGGACAAAATTTATGAGACCAGCTTCTTGAGCTCTATATTATATAAAGATCTTTTTGTAACAGATAATCCATAAGGATTACACCCTATAATATTGATTATTAAAAATTTAGTATACGAAAATAATTAACATGGTTTAGTGTTAATATGTATGTAAGGTCATAATAGTATTATACTACACTAGGAATTTTTAAATACGAGATTTACATATGTACCTACATAATACATAACCATGTAAGACTACATTTCTGCATTTACATTTTATATAAAATTTTAATGTTAATAGTACTTTCTTCTTTTAAAAAATATCATTAATTAACCCACAATCTTTGTAATATATCTATATATTATAAAAGGCAAAAGTGATTGACTAATGTATCAACGCACAGGCCAAACCCTTAAGCTAGAAAATTGAAATTTCGTACACGTATTGCTCATATGACGAAGGCATCCACTAAGGAAGGATTTTTCAAAATTCAAATAGGTGAAATAGGGCATAAAAGTTTGTATTAAACTTTTTATTCCTTGGACATATTTGCATTAAATTCGTATAAATTGAGTACGGCAAAAATAATGAGTTACGTATTTCAGTGTTTTCTAATATTCAACCCCTAAGAGGGTAAAATAGGGGATGAAAGTTTTTATGAAACCCACTTTTTACAGTTTTATTGTAGTTTTAGCGCGAGCGAAGCCGCGGACTCTGCTTGTTCGTAAATAAATTTTCATAGAAACAGTAACAAAATCAGTTTCATATTTTTTGTTCTATCAAGTAATAAGAAAGAAGAAAGGAAACAATCAAATTTTATAATTGGGAAAGGCATCTCCCTAAGATGAACTATAAATGTGTGCACGTACAAAAATTAGTTCCAGACCGACCACATCAATGATATCACGACTGACAATAGCGACCTCGGTGGTCCGCAATTAACGGTCCGTGTTTGTGCACTACAGAAATTGTTTTCCAGTAGCACGAACCCGAGATGAACTTAAAATGAAATTGCACTTTAGATGCTGTACATACTGATGGGGAAGTCATGTGTATTTTGTAAGCGAGCAGTAAGAAAAGATTTAAATTATCTAATTATTATCTAGAATCTTACATAGGTGTTTTTTTATTATAATTAAAAGTCTTACATATTTAAAAAAAATAACATAAAAAATCAGTGAGATTTATGTAATGGTATTATTCGGTACTAAATATATAACATAGTAGAATATTACATAATATGTATTCTTGTTTAAGTACAGAAAAATAATAATATTGCAATTTTGTTAAGTCAGGGGAGAAGGCAAACTAAAATATAAGCTTGTATTTGATTACTTTCTGTTCCTTATATTTAAATCCAGCTTGTGTTAAAAATATCATTAAATAGCATTTACTAATAACAGTTAATTTAAATATACATGTTATAATATAGAAACTGGTGCACTTATTATATTTGTACTAGAATTTTATTAAGTTTAGGTTACGAGGACGGATGCACATAGATTATATACGTAACCTAGGTTTCCGGTGGTCTCATTTTTATGCAATAATTGTTATATTTTTATTTTTAACAGTAAATAGTTTAGAAAAGGAACACCAAGATAAGTGCTAATGATTTCATTTCACCGTAATCTTTCGTGGAAGTTACTGTTAAACAGAGCAATTAAACATTCTCACCTTACCGGTTCGTGGGAAAGGTTTTGTTCATAATAAATTCATAAAAACGGATTAATTTTAAAATGTTTTAATTTGAAAAAAGGTTCAATTTAAATTTTAACTTTCTTATTTCCAATGTAGAGCTGTGCCATCAAATCCTCTTTGCATATCCATGGTGGTCTAGTATAAAATCCCATTAGAATTTAATGATGCATTGATATATCCATACGTGTGTGCTGCACCTAGTCGTAGATGGCATTGAGATCAGGAAGTGATTAGAATGTATCTCAACGGCAATGTTTCGAATTCAGATAAACGTTATTTAGATAGTAAATAACAAGTGGAATCATCGACGGTTTATCGTTTGATTTATGAAGAAATTCAGCCCGCTATATCGATATCGTAAATATAGTTAGATAGAGATAAACGTGGGTTAATCTCGCAAACGAGGGTCAGGGTCAGCAGCAATTGAGGTAAGTTGAGTAACGACGGACACTTTGAATTGAGACGTAGTTTTATATGTACGTATAGTTTTATATGCACCAATAAAATATTGATTAATTAATTATTATTGTTGTGTTTAATACCTACTATGAATATACAAATATTGTTATGAAGCGTTCTGAACCCGCTATAAAAAGTACCGTTTTAATGGAGCTATTCCAAATAGAAACACGAGACGGATGAAATATGGTAAATATTTCAATAGTATTCACAAAAATATGCCTTGACGTAGCTCACGTCTAAGTAAAACTGCTAAATTCGAAATGTGGGAGGGGCTTGAAGGCACATACAACAGTTAGATTCCGCTATAAGAAAGCCTGGAAAGCTACTCCATTACGTGGGCCCGATCCTACGACATTTAGATTGCCATCTATTGCTAAAGGCCAGGCTCAGCGAACACTGAATAACATTATATATCGCTACACCCGATACCGTTAAGCTCGAATAAAACCCCTTAGCCTACAGTAAAATACTTAAGATAAGTAATTGGAATAAGACGGTAAATTATCGACTACTAGTAATCAATGTGTCATTCCAATCGAATAAAGTCTGATAGTGTTCGCAAATTGATAGAATTAGAGTTGAAAAGGCACATCACTATCTATTACATGTCGACATAATTTCGTTATGTTTACAATGCACAAAGTGCTGAGTCACGACGAAGTTGCATTTTGGTGCAAAAAGTTCTATAGCCAGCGTCGTCGCCGCTCGTGCGTGCCGTCTAACGGTGGTGGTACACGAAATTGAAAATTAGTTTTTACGGCGCCCAGAGCTCCGTCTTGCTCCAGTCCTAATTTAGTTATAATTGAATCGAGATACATATACTTAGAACGTCAATTTGCACAGACACTTAATTTACATCACACTATATAGAGAACGTGGAGGTATGTTAAAATGATTCGTTCTAGCGGAAAATATGAACAATACACAATCTGTTTTAAAATAGGATACTCTAAATATATTTTTAATATGAACCAAATTAGTTATGTTATCATAAAATATGTCCTTTGTTATTTTCTCCTTTATACAGGAAATGTTCTTGAGTTAGTCCTTTATAAGAGTTCTCTACATCATTCCATTTAAATTAGCCGTCTTAAATCATAATATACATTATGCATAGTTAACGAGCTAAGCTTCGCTAATGGCCTTGCCTGGCCTTGCAACCAGTAATACAGGTCAGCGTCCGCTCTATCCATCTCATGTATTACAACAATAACGACCATGTTACGGCAGCACTTATTGCATAATTTTATGTTAAATAATATGGCTGCAATGTCCTCACACAACAGAGGTAAAAAAATAAACTGTTCTAAAGCTTTTTAAATAAAACTAATCTTTCTAGTCTCTCCTGTAAGCATATTTGCTGTAAATATAAAGCTTTCGAAACGTCGGAAGAAAAACTAGAATTAAATCGCCAAAAAATAGTTTTTTGAATGTCAAATATTCGCGTAAATCTAAGAAACTAGATGTTATGCTCATAATATGTTATAAAAATACGAAATTAAATATCATTCAATAGCAATAATTACTTAAATTATTAGAATATATTTTTTGGACCACATGAAGTGCAATTTCAAAACCTCTACAAGAGTAGTGTCAATTAAGTACGATAATACATAAAAAAATATGTTTATAATATCAACTTACAAGGCTCGCTTAAAATAAACTTGTCATCGCGTGTATTAATACGCTTTAATGAAGTTTATTTGAAGCTTGGCAATAGCCTTGGGTGTCCTTGCCATTGCCACTTGTACATCGAGGTCAGTGGCTTTGATTACTGTAGCATCTTATTAGTCTTTTCGTAATACTACCCCTATCATAGCATGGAAAGGTAAATTGAAGTTTCGTTCTACGAAACGTATGTTTAGGTGTCTATATCATGTGGCACTTAAACGATTTGTAGGTTCCATTTCAATTACAAAATCCGGTTGTAGAGTCTAAGTATAACTTACTAGGCTATTGCGGTTGTAGATGGAAAAAAAAAATTACTAAAACTATGTAGCAAAGTGGATTTGCTGAAATTACTTACTTTATGCTTTTACTTTAGATATAGAAAATTATATTTATTCATGCAAATTATTTTAATTTCGTTATTATATACTAATATAGTAAATTAATAGTTAAATATATATTGCGAATAAACTGTATCAGTTCTGCAAACTTAAAGTGTCACCTTCACAAACTAGGTAAACGGTTATTGACTTGTCGAACTGGAATTCTATGTCGATAGTCTCGAATTATGGTTATCTTATTAATATTCATTACGTAACAGTAGCTCGCTGTTATTCAAGATTTTTTTTGAACATCTCATTCATGTTTATCTCTAAATAAGGTAAAATGAAATTCTATAGCAACGCAACGGTAAAACAACCTTTGAATATACCGTTTTAAAATATCCAAATAAAATGTGTTAATATTATACATTTTTCATTTATATTCTCATATTGTTCTTATTAAAAAGAATGAAATAAATAAAATAGGAAGGAAAGATGTATTTAATCGTCTGTTTATGAGACTAAAGAACAGTTGATAAGTTTTGTTTCGTAAAATGTAGAAGGTGTATTTATAAGAAATTTTCCGCATAGAGGAAGAATAACAGTTGTTCTCAGTTAAATAATAGAACTATTACACTTCAATAGTGGATTGTAATCTGTAATAACATACCTAACGGCAAGCCAGTTTAAGTGGACAAAAAGGGGAATTTTCTATTGTAAAACGATGATCGCTTCCATAAATACGGCGACTGACTCACTTTCAAATCGTAGGCGATTTCTAAAGTTATTTCTTTGAACACCGAAAAAAATAATAATAAAACTATTAAGGCCTAAATGTATTATGAACATCCGATTCGAGTTCGGGACGAAAGATGACATTTTTAGATGATTTTGTAGAGCCATGACCTTATTAACCATTCTTAACGTTTATGAGCATTTCTATAAATTAAGTGTTTGTAAAGTATATTTTACTTTGAAATCATCTGCAAATATTTTTCTTACGCATATTGACTCGCCTAGGTTTTTTTTTATTTTTAAGTTCATCCATTTCATCATTAGTTTATGCTAGTGTTGTTTTATTATATCCATAGTGATATTTTAAATAAAGTAAGTAAAAAAATAAGACTTTTCTTGATTTTTTCCTAGATTTATTTTTTGGGTTCCGACGTTTCAAACACTTTACAGCAATTACGGTCACGGGAGAGACTTTAAAGTCACTTTCAAAATTATTATATAGTTGATACAGGCAGTAACAACTATATACCAACTTTTTATTTACTTATTTTATATTAGGCAAATTGATTTAATATCATTTTTAAAGTTCAGTCTCGGAATATTACCGTGGGAAAAATTCATTTAAGTTACTGAAGCGCAACTAATATAAAACGAAGTGAAGTCATCGACTTTTATCTAGAAAATATGTACAAGCGTAAGAATAGGTTTTACGTGCGCATCGTCTAACATAAAAAAGTTATGGCTTGGGGTGACCATTTGTCAGGAATTCACCTAACAAACTATTGCAAAAAAAAACAGATGAGAAAAAAAAATGTCATACTTTTAACTGCCAATTAAAATTTTATACCTACCACCACACTTTTTGTAGTAAATGAAGCAAACAAGTGATTCAATTTCATAATATAATTAAACCAAATTCACTAGCGTGAATGTAAAAATCTGTTACATTTCGGGAGATGACTGATGATGGTATGATGACTTCGATGATGATTTGTGTGATATTTTTACAATAATATTTCATAAAAATATAATTCTTATATCAAAGATTGATTAAAAAAATATAATTTAAGAAGGTGGTTTTTTTTTCAATAACATACTTTAATAAAGTATACTACGACCTATTTAAATAATATTTAAATAGTTGCATTGGTTATTTTAAAACATCTTGGATTACTATTTACTTTACATGATGAGAATATCAAAGGCAAGGAACTTTGGTTTGACCGGTCAACGGCCTAAATCGCTTTACGTCATTTTATTGGCGGCATGTCGTATACGAGACATTGGCACTATGCTAACGAATCAATTCGGGATGGCTCATGACCGACGTTCCGGTAAACGATTTTGTCATTAGCACCCTTACATTTACTGTTGTTTCACGACGGAAATATTCTAACAATGTTGTTTCGACAATATGGTTTAGTTGTGTCGATTTATTTTAAACTTACACTAACATTTTTCTTATTCATTAAGTATAAGTATAGCTTTTCTGGTCCGATAATGTATGTGCTATTCATATGCAATCCCATGTATCAATCTGCGTGTGAGGTATAATAATGATTTCCGTTGACAAGTCCGAGGAAGATTAGAATAATTCATCATGGCGACATGAAGTAAATCACAATTTAATATAATGTTAAAGCTTATAGAGTTCTTTAGCTAGCCCACGGAGAACGTAAAAGCTTCTAAGAGTTCTAAGTATGCACTTATGAATTGCGTGTGAAAAATCTAGAATTGCTCGTAGCGGCGAGCTTTGGCTCGCTGTATAATTACAGTGCCTACGTTACACTTGAAATCATCCATTGCCGCAATCTCCTATCGATTATGATCGTATACGTCGAACGCATCCGTTTCTAGCTAATCAAATGTCTAAAAATATATCTCATACATTACTCATAGTCTGAGAAATGCAGTAGCTAATTGTGTTCTATTTGTTCCAGAGCCACCTGCCAATCCGAGTGGCGAACTGCCTATCTCTATAGATCACCAACAAGATACTAACATGCCTAGCAACTTAACGAGGAATGACGCCAACTGTGACAAGACGGGAACTTGCTACGATGGTAATTAATAAACATACACAGCACGTACTGTACTAACAATTTAGCCAATCAACCTTCTCGCTTGACTATTTTGGTCTTAACTAATAATGGTTATATATTTCAGTATCAGTACACTGTAAGGATACAAGGATCGCAGTGCAAGTGCGCACAAATAAGCCATTCAATGGGAGGATCTATGCATTGGGCCGTTCGGAGACTTGCAACATAGATGTAGTTAATAGCGATCTCTTCAGATTGGATCTCACCATGGCTGGACAGGACTGTAACACTCAAAGTGTCGTAAGTTACTATTAACTTTAAATAAATCCTTTAAAACATTACGTAATAGAAATAATAATACGAATATTTGTGTATATTTGTAGACTGGTGTATATTCCAATACGGTCGTGCTTCAACACCACAGTGTGGTAATGACGAAAGCAGACAAGATCTACAAAGTCAAGTGCACATACGACATGAGTTCGAAGAACATTACATTTGGAATGGTGCCCATCAGGTCGGTAACAGTACATCGATACGATAATGTATGCTTAAAGGAAATTCACCATGTTTATGCGAAACTACTATCATAAACGACATGATATACGTGATAAAAATATAAACCAGAAAATTCGCTATGATCGTGTTGCAACATTTTTTCTAAAAAGTTATTAGTATGACACATACTTTCTAAAATGTTTTGTGTAGTTTTAAAGATGTTTACTGCGCTTTCTTTTTTGTTTTAGTTACATTTATTTTTATTGATGCAATTAAATTAGAGCTGTAAAAAGCTAAAGTAAATATATATATGAAAACAAGTAATACATTCGTAGTACTGGAACTAAATAATACCTATAAAATAATTCACATACCGACACATGCGAACACGAACATAAAATTCTATTGACCCAATATCGGCTCTGAATTATACATAAAACAATTAGATTCCCTCACACCGGTACGAAGATAAACGTGATGAGAATAATAAACAACTTTTACTAACTTTGTATGGATTTTTAATAGCCAGTAGAAGTGCGATTAAATCATGATTGCTGTCAATGATCCCGATATGTAAATTGCTATAAGGCATTGTATTTGTGCGGCAAGGTGTTGTACATAATTTATATTCTTCGTTAAAAGGGTTTATTAAGATAAATGAACGGGTAATAGGGCGACGACATCTATTTCTACTTATTATCTTTAAACTCGACTATATGTGTAGTGCTATTTGTTACTATGTTATTACGCGACGGTCATTAATCTATTTAGCATTTATATAAGAAATCCAGTTTCATTTTCATTTTATTGCATCTAGACTCATTTAAAACTTGTATTATTAATGTGTCATTTGAAAATATCTTCACATACAAAGTGGTATCCAGATCGAGAGTTAGTAAATAGTAATGTGTATAGATATCTCTGGAATTTTGTGATATGTACATATGTAGCTAAATTACCTACACGTGAGAAGATAAAACAACAGTTTTTTTTAAGTTTTGTCTGTTAGGTAGTATACCTCTTACGAGAGAGATTTTTACAAACAGCTGGCATGACTTATATACGTGTTTATATAAAAAATATAGTTTCACTAGAATACCACTTTATTTTCTTAAATTATTCATACATGTACTATAGTAAAAAAATAAAAGTCAAACTACTAAAATGGCACAGAATTTTCTCTGCCATTTTAGTTTATTATATAATTGTTCGTATTTCAGAGATCCAGAGATGATTTCTATCACTGCCGCTCCCGAGGCGCCGCCGCCACGCATCCGCATCTTGGACGGCCGACAGCGCGAGGTCGAGACCGTGCGTATTGGAGACCGTCTTACGTTCCGCATCGAAATACCAGAAGACAGTAAGTTTATTATAATTGCTATATTATGTTTATTAATAATGATAGTAAGGCAAAAGTTTTCATATTTTATTTTTATATTGTCCTTTGTTAGGTCACTTCTTTTGTTTGATAAAAATATAAAAATAATCACTTTGTTAGTTTTATATTCATTTCGTATTATTTGTATATCATGATTCTTATAATGTTTACAGCACCATATGGTATCTTTGCGCGCAGTTGTGTTGCTATGGCCAAAGATTCGAAGAGTACATTTCAAATCATCGACGACGAAGGGTTCGTATAAATCCTTACTAATGTTATTATATTTTGTGTGTTGTTGTATTTTGTGCTTTGCATATCGTAATAAAAGTCAACACGCAGGTAGCTTGTATCGAGAAGAAAATACCTAGCATCCTCATGGGCCAAATCAGTGTTCCCGTGGAAAATTAAACACTAATTTTTTAAAGTAGATACTTAAAAGTCATTACTTATTAACTATTGTCTATTGATTCCTAAGCAAAACGAAGGCAAGTAGCAAGACGAATTAATACTTTTATAATTTTAAGATTATTGCTATATATATTAAGAATGTTTAGAGTAGACACTCAAACACGCGACCTTCGGCGTAGAGACTCAAGGCTGATCCTCCGACCACTGTGCGGGTGGTCGCCAGTGCAGCGTAAACGTATAATAAATCTTTATATTTTATTTGGTAATCTGTAATTTTTTTGTAGGTGTCCAGTTGACCCCTCAATATTCCCAGCGTTTACTCCCGACGGTAACGCGCTACAATCAGTGTACGAGGCCTTCAGATTCACCGAGTCGTACGGTGTTATATTCCAGTGCAATGTGAAATACTGTCTCGGCCCTTGCGAACCTGTGAGTGTTACTATATATTTTATATTATAAACCATAAAAAAATATTGCATAAAAAATATTTAATTATTTTTTAATTTATGGTTTCAAATTTGGATGCCTGTGATGATTGATTGATTGATGATGTAACAGATTTCAATGGGACAAATTTAAAATATAGGAATGTTCATACTTAAAATATAGTAAATATAGTATGTAAAATATAGTGTGTGTAATAGTAGGCCAAGTTTGTAGCTTAAGCTTTTGTTTCTACGATCTCCCAAATAATGGAAAATATCTTTTACGACTTTGAACCAATGCCTTTAGACGCAAGTGTCCCTAAACTATACTCCTAACAAAAAAGCTTGTCATAAGCAAAATTGCCAGTGGCTAAACTTTAAACGCTTTTTCGTGCATAACTTGTAACATTCATAATTCATAGATACTACTGTGGTGCTTAGTCACGCTGATTAAGTTAACATTGGCTGATGTAACCTTTTATTTATTCTCATTATTCCAAATCTTTTCCCATAACACGGTATATTATTAAATTATATAGGCAACTGTTAATGTTAGAGCGAAGTATGTTTTTTAACTTAGAATATCGTAATGTGTAGAGACAAAGATTTATAATTTTAAATTAAAATGTATATAGTTTAAGTATTTCATGTATATATTTATAGTAGCTAATTATTTATCTGTATATTATACAATCTATACAATAATATTAGGTATATAAAATGGCTTGTCTTGAATAATTTATGAACACGCAGACCAAACCGTTGGTCGAAAAACGAAAATAATATTTTTGAACCGAAATTTTCGATATTTTATTATAAAAAATATTTATTCATTTATTTACTTTCACAGGCTATGTGCGAATGGGGCAGAGAATCTGTTGAGTCGTGGGGAAGAAAGAGGCGTTCGTTACCTCACAATGAAACCGAAGCTCACAATCAAGAAGAAGACATGAACATCTCCCAAGAAATCCTTGTCCTCGATTTCGGTGATGAGAGACAGAGTACTGACTTCTTGAGATCTGATAAACCTGGTGGTACCGCCAGTGAAACCAACTTTGGAGGTAAATAATAATTAAAGATTGTAATTAATAAAAATCGGCCATGTGCTATTCAAACTTGGTCCATGAAAATTTATTTCTAAAACAAAATAAAAACTTTATAGGTACTATGTTGACAAGCCCAGAATTTTAACGCACTTTAGAATGTAATCAGAAACAAGTGCCATGTATGTATATTATGTATATGTTTCATGTAGGTATGTCTGATTAGTTTTTTTGGTTGTTTAAACACTATAATCTCCGGAATAGCAAGTCTGTTATGTTAAGGAAGGCTATCTATCACTCACGCTACTTCCTCTAGAAGCAGAGCAAATACACATAAATAAACGCTGACAGTCCACGGGCAACACTAGTTTATTAGTTAAAGATTTCTCGTAAGTAGGTACCTACTACAGGACCGGTCTTAGCCATCTGGGCGCCGCGGGCGAGTCATGCCTTTGGCGCCCTTTTAGGTATACTTATTTCTTTACAATTAAAAAAAACGTGGATGTAGAATTAGTTAGTGAGGGATACGATAAATCACTGAGTCTAGTTTTCCTTTAGATCTATAAAAATAAGTATTCAAATTAAATGGTTAAGTTGAGATGGCGCGCGCGGCGCCCTGTATAACCTGGTGCCCCGGTCGCCTCCCCCTAAAGCCGGAAATGACCTACTACATAGACAAACATCCAAATCTGTTGAGTAAACATCCCTCTCTCTATAGTTTTCGGATCTATAAGTAGCATGCAAAAAAATTATTGAATCTAATTATGAGAATAATGCTTTAAAACCTTTACCTATTGATATTTAAAACATTTGAAATGTTGAGTTTCGATGGTGTCGACAATAAACTAAGCTCGTTTTATGTAAAAAATAGTATACGAAATACTAAAAACTATCTGCTATTTTATCACTAAGTAGACGATGCGACGCAATTTACTTTTTAAGTCCTTACTTTATTTCTAATACATTGAACACTTTTTGCTAATTAATTGGAAGGAAGTTTTTCATTCTCTTCTAGTACATTGACGTTAACATTTTATATTTTAAATGTCCATTTCATTTTTTGCAGAGAAAACCGTGACCATTGTCGAGCCTTGTCCGAGCAAGTCTTCCGTCCTGTTGCTTGGAGTTGCTTGTGCATTGTTAGTTCTTCTGTATATTGCTACCATCTTCTGCTATTATATGCGCAAATGGCTGGCGCCTCCAAAACATATGTCATAAAGGTCAAATTATATTAATTATCATGTGTTCCAACCGTTTTCTACTAGACAACGACGATATAAACTTAACAAGACTATGAGATTTTGCTTTGACTATTTTAAAATAATAATGCTTTAAGAACGGATGGAGTCATAATAACTTAAATCGTCGTTCATATTTTGGGAAGTAAGTTTTACTTGTGATACAAATGACTGATTCGGAATTCCATGATTTGTCATTATATCCGTCCATTTAGTTTAGGAATTGTATCGTGGCGAAGAATATTATTATTATAACCACCGCGTAGCATTTACCTGATGGTAATCACTTGCATTTGGAAGCATTTACTAATTATAAGTAGGTATACGACTGTAGGTACAATAAATGGCTAATATTAAATAATTAAAGGCGATAATGCTATTTTATTAGAGCATATAGTTAAGGTTCTATTAGTTTAAGTATAAATTCAGAATTTGCATTTACTACAAGTAGCTAGGTCAATCTGATATGAACACAATTCCTTTTGGAATAGTTCCTAAAAATTGTTTTTCTGTGACAATAAATTTGAGGGGACTATTCTGAATTTTCATTTATTGGTCTAGTTGTCACGGAATTGGCAGACGTTTTAGATACCTAAGTATTAATTTTAAGTTGTCATAATTTGTGTTATTGTGCCCATTTATAATATTAGTAAAATATTCTTTCTTTAAAATTAATTTTAAATTCTTGTAAATATACTGTTACATGTCATAAAAAGGCGCTAACAGTTTTATTTCATTTTACATCTTGATGAACTTTCAGTTGGGTTTTGTAGAAATATGACTTACATTAAATAAAATATTTTCATATTTTTTTTAAAAGTATTTGTTTCTCCTAACCCAACTTGAGATTTCTACTTTATTTATTTAGACTAACTGTAACACACTATTTATTTTTTATTTTATTTAATAAATGAAATAAATTTGTACAAATCAAATTGTCTTTTTATTTCTTAAAATATGTATAAAATTTGTGATTGAAATGTATTTTAATTATGTTATGTAGCAAAATAATATGGTAATATTTTAAAAATTATCCCAGTTCAACCATCAATTTACTATAAACATTACTAAGAATTTCTTGTTGGGAATCTATATCTATGACCTCTGAATTACAGCCAAATACTCTTTCGAAATGGTTTATAAATATTGGGATTATTTTATCAATTGAGTATTCTTCACCAGTTTCCTTTGTTATTGAAGTAACCCCTTTGTCAGGAATGCCACAAGGGTCAATATGAGAAAACCATGATAAGTCAATATTACAATTCAATGAAATGCCATGAGTTGTAATATATCTAGATGCATGTACACCAATTGCTGCTATTTTATTATCACCAACCCATACTCCTGTATGAGGAGACCTGTTTGCCTTTATTCCTAAAACAATAAAGAAAAATCAATTAATTAAATAACAACATGGTGACAATTAAAAAATACTAATATTTTAATTCAGTAATATATAACTTTAATATAAGGTATTTTGATCTGAGGACAAAAATAATGGAAGATTACAAGTGATTAATCATGAAAGAAAATATTTTTACCTAATTCTTCACACAGATTTATTACAGTTGCTTCTAAACTGTCAACATACCATTTGACACTGGGTTTGAAATATTTTAAATTAATAATGGGGTACACAACAAGCTGCCCTGGTCCATGAAATGTGATGAGACCCCCTCTATTGGTATTTCGAAACTCTGCTCCTAGTCTACAAAGTCTTAAGGTTTCTTCTTTTGATATTTTATCTCTAATACCTAAAAAATATTAATGCTTTTATATTAAAGTAAATTAATTAATTTAAATACAAAGATGGCATTTTAAAATAATTTAATGTAGATAGATAGAAGTATTTTATTGTACACCACAATAGAAAAAATACATATTATATTGGACAATAATATTATAATTATTTATGTTGCACAAACCTGTAGTGTATACTGGTTTATGCTCAACTAATAAAAGAGTGTCATAGTTCGCAGCTGAACCTTTTGCTATTGCGTCCAAATGTTTGCGAGCTATAGTTGATTGAATTTTGTAAGCCGTATCATATCCTAGCAGTCCCAACCTCCAAACTTTTATCATTTTTATATTTATAATTTTTCACCTACGGATTTATTTACAGTATAAAGAGCAAAAGTTGTATATACCATAATAAAATGAATAGGATGTTTTTTAAATATAAATTAGGACTAATATTTAGATTCAATTTCAGATTCTTTCTGAAAAAACATAGCTGTCAAGCGTCAATGTCGTCCGTGTCAATTATTTCATATTTGACAGATGGCAATCATACTAACGTTTAAGAACATTTAAGCGCAAAAAATGTTCTAGAACAAATATATAAATATTATTAATTAATATTAAATATGTTAATCAATAAAATGAAATATTACATTTGATATAATGGTACATAATAATATAAAAATATGTATAACTTTAAAACTAACTGTAGCCCTCTATTATAGAAAACAATGAGGAAGAATTTAGCCATTTCTCCCGCCAGATGTCGCGTGCACTATAATCCTCAGTATAATGTACAGTTCACCTGTTGCAGGTTTGACAGTTTTAAAATCACTTCCTGTGAAATGGTGTCCACATAACCTTAAATATGAAGATTGTGATTTCGCCAATTTTGGTCAGGCTTTAGCTCATAATGTCTTTAGTTTTTTGTCTTTTAGGAAAAATGATACCCATTTTCTTTGCATCCTGGCACTGCACAATTTGTCATTTTAATTATTAAATTTTAAATAAAATCCATTCACGAATAGAGCTTAACAATATACAGAGGAATCCTTAGTGAGGATTATAGTGATCGCGACATCTAGTGGGAGAAAATAGGAGAAATATTCCCCATTATTAACTTTATTTTGATAGTATTGCTACCAGCTACTAGATGGCAGTGCAATCAAATTTTCCTAACTTTCCCATGTTAAAGTACTGGATTACAAAATAACATCTTTCAGCCGGCTTAGTCCTCTCGTGTGCCCTGTCCGTAGGGCGGTGTTACGATCATTACGTAAACAAGCTGTAATATAAACATTGTATTAACTGTATGAAAAATGCTCCTCTATTAAGTTGTTATAGTTTTTGATGGTGCCTAACGTACAGAAATAGTAGTTCGAGTAATAAAAGACAGAAAATTGTAAGCTTCATATTTATTTATAAGAACATTAGCCGCGCTTTATACTTTTGAATTATAGCTCTTATGTTATTAACGCAGTCTTTCGTAAATGTCGTGCTTAAACAAAGTGTTAGTAAAATCAGAGATGTGGTGTTCTTTAAAGCGATGACAACAGGGGTGAGTGGTTTTAATTCTAAAATATAAAAAAAAGTTTTTAGTTAAATAATAAGTGTTTCGTTAGTTTGTAACATAATACTGTAGGCTGTAGCGGTTATATTTATGATAATATTTATAACTTTTGCTATATTATGGCTCTTGAATTGTGTTTATTTGAAATGGTTACTTTATATACTTAATTGCAAAATTGAAAATTCAATTTTTTCAAAAGTTAATTTATAAAACAATAATTTACCAAAGAATTGTACATTCATTCTTAAATATAAAATTTAATTTGGTTATTGTTAGTAAGAAGTTAACTTAGTTTAAAGAACATATTGTTATTATCTATGTAGCGTCCAGGTAATGCCATTAGTTTTCATTACGGAGGAAATATGATATAAGTATATTACCTCAAACTAAAGGTACTAAAGGCAGAAAAAATTGACTACATCTGCATAATGAGTGTGGTGAGTGTAGACTTCAATTTTTTACCCAACTGCAGCGAAGCTCGAGGGTGGGTTATAAGAAAGAATAGCCTTCTAGTGGACCGAGCTTTCGTTTTTATAGAATCATTTATTTTGTTATTTTAATAGTTCTAATATTATATGTAATCTGGGCGACCTATAAAAATGGATCAAATGGTAGCGTACGTTGACAAGTTCGAGTTTCAAGACACTATCGAGTTTCAAGTATTTTGCCTTTTTGAAGGTCGTTTAGTTTTGATACGTATTTGGAATTGTATTACAAGTAAAGAAAGTAAAACCTATTATGTTTTGCTGTTTCTATATAAATATATATATATATAATTAAATTTTATTTTCCATATTATTAATATTTTTAAGTTTCAATAAGAGTATATCAAAAGTCATTTCATAAAATAAATAAAGGAGTTTCTATAGTTTCTTTATTCTATTATAGATGAAAGTTTGTATGAAACTACCTTTTTAGAGTTTTTTTTTAGTTTTAGCACGAGCGATGCCGCCGGTTCTGCTAGTTATATATTAAAGTATACTAGACTAGACTCAAGGCTAGACCAAATGCTATTTAGGCTATAAGGACTATAAATGAATCTTGACTTATAATATGCATATACATATGTTCTTTATTACATGAGCTCATAAATTGAATGAACCCTTGCGAGGTACTAGATATATTTCAGGCAGTAAAGTTGATATTAAAGTACGTACTTGACGGTAACCCTTGTTGCGCTGAAGTAGTATAGACAGTGTTAAGAATAGCTCTGTACACTTTTAAGCTACACTTTTCAAGTTTTATACTTTAAACTTATACATTTTTGTCTAGTGATGAATGATTTACTTTACATTTTAGTCTTTTTGACACGCTTTTGTAAGCTTCACTTGTAAGTAACGAAGAGTTAGTATGTAAAAACTTATCAAAAAGTATGGAAAGTCGATCTTAAGTTACTTTTAAGTGTGGTATCAAACTGAATAAGCACACGCATGTTTTCAAACAATTCTTTAGTTTACGGGCATCCAGAAACTAGCATACATTAAACTAGCATAAAATCTATAGAAAGATGTAATGAATATATTATAATCTTTAAGTTTTTATATGACCTAATGTTTAACGCCTTCTAGTAGTTCTAATTAATGCCGAATCTCAGAATCTCGCATTGAATCTCATTGAATCTCGCATCGAAATTTTTTTTTCTAATAGGTAATTCAATATTTTTATTGGATATAATAATATATGTATTACAACATTGGTTGTTTTGAGGACCTATTGGACCTCATAATTTATTAATAACTCACCCCTTTAAGTAATTTTCTAAATTTCATCATTATTTAACTTTACAGTACCTATCAATAGGTACCTATTCCACAGATCATATAATATAATACTATGTCTATTCCATTTTTTCTATGAGATTATTATATTTCCTAACAATTTTCAGTTTAGCAGGCTCTACGATAACCTATCTGCTATCTAATTTAATTAAGATTTTACTAATAAAATATACTTTGCACTTATTGTACTTTAAATTGTTTTTATCAGACTGTATTGTGATATTTTTTTAACATCTCATCAGTGTATGCGAGGAGAGTAAGGGTTAAACCACTAATAAGGTAAACAAGTGTCTAATAGGTGAAGCAGGAAGGCCGGTGCTTCCGTCCGGTCTATTTATAAACCGAGGTGGTGTGGGGTGTGCATTGTGCACTGCGCGTACGTGGCTTACAGTTACATAAATTAACGTAAAACAAATTAGACACTATTTTATAAATAAAATAAGAAAAAGTTTTAAGCGTTCCAATAATGACATTTTTTACGGAACTTACCTTGTGCGATAATAGAACCTGCAATATCCAGCGTAAAAACAATCTGGATGGCATTGCGCCTGAGTATATTCACGGCTATATGGCTGTGTATGGACAGTTGTTCTTGCAATTCTGTTGGAAATGATTATGACTATTTTCTTTAAAATTTAAGCTGAAACGTACGTGTAATTAAATAATGGTTGCTTCATCACTTGTTTTAAATACATAGTTTTGTTTATTGTTTATTCATACTTTCATTAATACCTACTGTTTAATTTTCATGTTTTCTATTATATTTTCTGACGATGTTTACGTTTCTTTATATATTAGTTATTTTCAAGTAATCATCAAGCTCACATCTACAATAGTCAATATCGAAACATTGTTATTTATTTCTAAAAGAGTACGTATTTGTAGATCGACTTTTATGTGAAATAAAATGTGTAGCTGCAACGGGGACTTTTATAGGGCTTTATACCAAGAAAGCAGTCAAGTATACCTAATGATTGCTAAATAATTAACCTTAGAAAAAAATAAACCAATTGTCGTATTATTCTTAGAATGTTATTAATATTATCTTACAAGAAAAAATATATGAAAAAATAAAGAAATATTAGCTGTCAAAGTGTCCTGAAAATTATTTTATTATCTATCTATACTATAGTAAAACAGTAGAGGTCAAATGTCTGTACATAGCAAAAAAATGCTAAAAACCGAGTCAGGGGGATGTAAGAAGACAAATAGAACAAATCCAGATTTTTTTCAAATTTTTTGTTTCTCTGTCTGTTTGTCTGTTTGTACGGGCTAATCTCCGAATCTATTGGACCGATTTAATTTATCTTATATCCCCGGGCAACATCTTAGATACTTTTTATCCCGGAAAATTGAATAGTTCCCGTGGGATAGTTAAAAAACTATAATAACTTATACAGCTTAGTACACAACAACATATGCACCTAATTTAGTAAAATTTAACATTCTGATACCTTATATTGCCGGTCAAATAACAGGTTACTTTTCATCCCGGAGAAATAAACAGTTCCCGTGGGAACTAAGAGATCTCTATTAGTGTTTTTCTAGTACATATAATAAAATTGTAACTAAGTCGAATTTGTACTTTAAATATATTTTTCTGAAATAAAATTTTATATAATCATTTTAAATTTATGTGTAAAGAACTAAAAACTATAATTTATTAAAATTTTATTAATATTAATAATGATCGAAATCTGTAAATGTTTTTTATTTATCATATTTTGTACGAAAGTGCTCGTTGCCATAGCGACGGCACAGTAGGCTGCAAGCCGTGACGGGAATGACAACGCGTGGATCGATGTCGGTCTACACTTTTTATCACCGTCTTTGATCTCCTGTAAAGCCTTCTTTGACCGAATCCTTCGGTGTTACCGAATTTTCAGGGATTTGCTGCCTCATATTATGTCTCCATGTAAGGATCGAAATGAGGTGGTGTTGATTTCTCTATAGTTATAAATATATAAAAAGGTTCTATATTAAATATAAAATAAGACAATGTCTTATATAATTATATATAATTACGTTTTTATTGACATGCAGTCAAACAGACAACAAACAGTGAAATCAAAATATCTCCCCTTACCGAGCTAAAAATACGGCAGTGCTTATTTTTAGCCGTGCTTTTTATACAGTTTCTGTGAATAAACTTTCCTAATTTCCGCTTTCTTTCTTTTAATTTGGTTCTTAAGTTACCTTAATTAGGTTTACCTCCATGCAACTTCAAACGACTGGACCTTTTTAGCCTCAAAGCTGTGTTAGTAGAAGTATATTTGTACAATAATCGTAAAACTTGCGCTTCCGGAGCCCAAAATTTTGTTTAAGCTGTTTCTCTTATTGCCAGGTAAAAAAATTAAATAGGGAAATATTTAAAATTTATTTCAGTGATTGTACTGTACTAAGTGAAGTAAAATGATCAGTGCTAAGAAACTTGCATATCTTAAATATTTGTCTGTTTATAGTTTATACGTACGCATGATTAAATTATTCATCGGAATCTGACGAAACTTTGGTAAATTGTTATGTGCAAAATTTGGTAAACTGTAATGTACACGTCTGCAAGTTATACATAGGTAGCGTACGGTTTGTATACAATTACTATTTGCAATTAGTTATTTGAAAATTTACTACATTGAATTTGTACGTCTCGTGTAACGTCACCATAAAAAAACCAAAGTCCGTAAACGGTTATTTTATAATAGCTGCATTAAAAACTTTGTAAACTAAAGAATTTCTATCCCACGTTTTATTTACTTTACACTTAATGATAAAGAGACGGTTTAGCTGGCAACACCGAGTCGTCTCGAGATGTAACTAATTAAGCCATAAAAACGACGTTTCCTCGAAGTGTTTTGCGATGGTGTCGGTGCGAGTGAGTTATCGCCTTACTTTAATTATTCATGAGCCCTTGGACAAGTTTCAGCAACTTTGAACTGACATCTGGCGCTAAGCTATAATTCACGCTTGTAAAACTTTTAATACATGTAGGTCAGTCTATCTAAAAGCCTACTTGTATTATAATAATTGGAAATGTGTGTTTCTTAGTATTTCTATGACAAAAAACCTACATTCTCTCTCACAAGGAACCACAGATCATACAATCACATTCCTAGCAAGGAACATAGCGACGCAGATTTTGTATAGACAAGTTTTTGGGACTGACATAGGTACTTTTTCCCGGTATAAAATAGGCCTCGTAGTATATTTCTATTATAAATACATAGTTATTTAAATCCTTAAGAGTTCTAAGAATAGAATTTTATGTATTGCCCTCCTAAAATGCAAAGAAAATTTGTATGCTAAGTCAGGTCAATGACACAAATCATCTATTTACACTCGTATGTATTGTTATACTCGTAATGCAAATGATTATCAAATATCAATCGCATATTGTTACAGATGCGGTCGCCGCAAACGTGCGAGCGCCAGTGAGATGAGCTCTGCGGCTACCAGCCGCAACTACTCATATGATGAAACCATACAGGTGTGCAAATTTCAATATCTATACAATCCTGTAGAAAAAAATAAACGATTGACACGTATGAAGTAAATATTTTAATTATATATCACAGACTAGCATTGCCCGCGGCTCCGCCCGCGTTCTGATGACCAAAAACTGTTTTTTTTTCAAGATAAGCTATTTTAATAGTTTTTGCCTTATTTAGTTAGTCACCTTGCTAAAATATTATATTGTATCATCGTGGTTTTATTCTAACCAGTTTTTGTATTTTTTCTCAGAAATAACATTTTCCCGAGGTAAAAAGTATCCTATATGTTGACCCGGATAACCAGCTATGACCATACCAAATTTTATCAAAATCCCTCCAATAGTTTTTCTGTGATGCGGTAACAGACACACAGACAAAAATTCTAAAAATTATATATATAAATAAATATAAAAATATTATATTTATTTATAATATATAATTTTTAATTTATTAATTTCTATATTAATAAATATAAAAATATTCGACCTCTGTAAAGATAATAATGTCTAATTCAATAAGATTTTCCAAAAAATATTTAATGTACAGATTCGACTTAGAATTTTATTATATGCATAGATAGTAAATTAATAATTCATATTTTTTTAAAAAGCTGCACTTGCTTAAAGCTGTACTTGCTAGAACTACGAATATGTTAACATGCATATAGTGAGCTTAATACAAACTTTGACACCTCGTATGTTAGTCAAGTTTCAAGCAAAGTACGGGGTAACTTTGAGCCTAATATGTAAATGTACATTGTACAGTATTTTCAGCGATCGAAACTTAATGCTACAAGAGAATATAATCCGAAAGATTTGAGCAGCAAGGGTTTATTTCAAGTGAAAGTAACAGCGCTGAAACATCAGGTTGTTAAGCGCGATACATAATGCGATTTTGCGAATTCATTGTTTAGCTAATTTTACTCTTGAGTGTAATGGTGACAGGGTTGTTTTTCCTTCGTGTAAAAGATTATTGGGGTGAGATGAAATTTTTCAGGACGGGTCATAACGACACATTAGCTGAGGCGGGCTCACTCACCTTTATTAATGTGGTACAGAGTTTCTCGCTTACATTCTATGGTTTTCTTGTCCCAAGCAGGTCAAAGGGAATTACAGTCTTTTAGGTGTTCATTATTTGGCCATAAACTGTCAGTACGGGGGAAAACAATTTGTTCCACCATAACTCTCTTCCTTTTTTACATGTGGTATGATAATATTAAAAAAAATCTGCACTTTCTCTTTCTTTCCCGCTATTTAACACTATCTCCCACATGCATTGGTTGACTGGAAGAGATCTCTTATAGAGATAAGTCCACCTTCATCTACGTTTTTATAACTAATTTGTGCAATAAAGAATATTTATATATATATATATATATATATATATATATATATATATATATATATATATATATATATGTAGTGTGTAGTATATAGTGATTATAAAACCATTGGAATGTCTATCTTAATTTAAAATTGGGATTTGCATATAATTTCGAAAAACACTGTTCAAATGGTCGGCAAAGCGTTTAATAAAGGCATCTAAACTTTCGGTAATATTCGCACAGCTTCGTAAAGGCTTTATTTTGCAGATACAAGCCATTATTTCCTAGATACGATATTCTCCCGAGCGGGCACATTTATCAGCCTGCGACCCACATAGCAACATCTGGTGAGCGCCACCCCAATATTGGACTTGAAAGAGATTGTGAAACGAAGTTCATGGTACTGGTGCGTGTTTACGGATTTTTGTAAGTGATACCGTAACATTTTTGCTTAAGTTTATATTTGCAATCTTTCAATTTAAAACCAATGTTGCCCACGAACTGTGGACCTATCAACGGAAAAGTAATGAATAATACGTAAGCTATTTTAAATTAATATTAATTGATATTATTTAGTCAATTTTACTTTTTTTTCTTTAACGTAACGCGAAGGTATAAATTACTATCCAACGTAGTCTCAGTGTCATCAATCCGCAAGGACTAATACTATTAGGTGACAGCGTAAATTATAAATTATAAATCTCATATAATTTAGTTTTTTTGATTTAATGAAACTTATATATCTATTATTTACTTGTCACGAGAAATTCACAGTTACTCATTTCGAATATCGCCAAATATAATTATACCGCTATTTGTCTATCTGCTTATATGGATACAGATTGGCTTAGTGACTTTGATTAGCAGAAGGGTTGGGCCTAATGTAGAGCGCGCATTAAGGAGGCGCGGACTAGAAAATCGAATTTTCTGCTCTGTGCCTTTGGGTCTTTGTCGGGCTTTTTAGAGCGTGACGTAAACACAAATATTGACCCACTTCCTTGTATCACATCTCATGGTGTAAATAAGTACCTACTTTTGCATAGTCAAAATATAAAAATAACATTTATGTTAAACACCTCCAGGTTTTCTAAGAAATTAATTAAATTTCTAAGAAATCTATTGTTAACTGTAATGCCGGCGTGTCCGCGGTCGTGGAGAGACTATGATTAGAAAAAATGAAACCTAATTTATATTGTAAGTTAATAAATAAGAATTATTAACAATACCAGATATAATTTACATTCTAAAAATGTATAATCTATTATTCATAACACTAAGATCCATTCAAACAAGAAAATGAACAACAAACAGTGCTTGGAATTGAAAACGTTTACGCTGTTCTTGACGCGTTGTTTAAACAGTAAACAGAATATAGCAATTTCAGGCGCTGAATTAACGCAGCTTACATAGACTTCAGAGTGCCTTGTAATCCAAATTCAAATTTTCCGAAAGATAAAGCATTAAGGGCCTTCAGAGCCTTTTGTGTGTCGCGAAGGTTATAAAAACGTGGAATTCAAAATTACTGTAGAGTATTGATAGATATTTAGAAAGTCGTCGCGCCTTTTGGTTTGATAATAGATTTCTTAAATAATGTTAGAAATTCATTAGTACTATGATGTTAGTATAAGAACTTAAATTATAAGTTAGTAGGAAAATTTAAATATTACAAATTACAATATTTGAGAGAAAATAAAAACTAAAGCCTCTAAACACACACTTTAACTGAATTTAAAATTAAAATAAAAACTTTTTAACAAAAAATAAAAACCGACTTCAAACAAAAGCACTAAAAAGTAAAAAATAACTGATGGGTAGTTTTCATTTACTATACATACCTAATCAAATATTTTCGAAGTCGGTGTGCTTTGGCTAAGTAATTAAAGCCTACCTATTAAATACATACCTAATCAAATATTTTCGAAATCGGTGCCAGCCCATACAAAGCAAAGCACACCGACTTCGAAAATATTTGATTAGGTATGTATAGTAAATGAAAACTACCAATCAGTTATTTTTTACTTTTTAGTGCTTTTGTTTGAAGTCGGTTTTTATTTTTTGTTAAAAAGTTTTTATTTTTCCCTTTTTAGTGTAGACAGTAGTAGCAAAGTAAGGATTCTAACGTGTTAGGCTTGTCAAATCAAACAAAATAAGCCCAAACTCAAAGTATCTACTATTAGCCATTGAAGAGTTCCACCTATCCACCTTCTGGCCTTGCCATCAGATCAGGTCAACAACACCGAACCACTGTACTATCAACGGAAATAGAAATACTTGCAAAGTTTCAAGTCAATATGACAATTAGAAGTAGGTTAAATTCATCATTAGTTGTTTTTCCACCCTTAGGGGTGGTTTTTTTTTTGAAATTTAAATGGGACCAATCTGGAAGTATACCCTTTCAAACAAAACAAAAATTGTCCAAATTGGTTAATAAATGACGGAGTTCTGAGGTAACAAACAAAAAAAAAACATACAGTCGAATTGAGAACCTCCTCCTTTTTGAAGTCGGTTGAAAAAACAAATTACTTTACGTGTCAATTTCAAAAGACTGGTTTTTAAATGTCAGTAGAGTTGATATTTGACATTTTTAATGTTTTAAATTTTTTGACATAAAAAGAGGTTGCTAATTATTATACAAAATAAAGTTTATTGCGATAAACAGTACAAAATAATGTTTATTGCTCATTCTCTACATTTAAACTGTAGCTGCTAGTTCTGTATTATGGTTTAATTTCGCTCACATAACCTCTGCCTAGAGCCAATTTACGTCTCCGACATATGTGTTCATTTTGGTATGTTTTAGTTCTTTTGTTTCAGTTGAGGCCAGTTTTAATTTTCATTTAGTAGTATAATGATATATTAAAATAAAATGATTTTAGTTTTTATTTGAATAAATCATTATATTATCAATAATAGATAAATAAAGATAGTCTGTATTTCTTTGTACACGAAGAAATAGAAGATACTAATAAATAATAATTTTATCGCAAACTAATTGCTTCAGTAATAATATTATATTATTTCTACAAAAAGCTCAGCTGAAATATAAATATAATAATTTTATTGTGCCATCTAGTATCCAGTAGCAGCAATATAATTTATATCGATAACGCACCCCACTACTAGATGGCACACAAAAATTTTGCACACGCATTTCTAAGTACTTACCAAAGCAGTTTCTTGTTTTTTTATATTTAATTACATAAAGTTTTTATTTTAAAATTTTATCTTGCATCTTTATAGTTAGAGAGTCGAGGCTGTAAACGGTAAACCTCTATAGGTTTACCTTTGCCTACTCAAACAACTTCGTTGAGTAATCCATACTTATATCATAAATGTGAAAGTGTGTTTGTTTGTTTGTCCTTCTTTCACGTCAAAACAGACTGACGGATTGGCGTGATTTTTTGTGTAGGCAGTTGGAAGGATACTTCTTACCGCGGGAGATTATATCATTCCCACGGGAAAACACGTTATAATACAACGCAAAAAAATTATTTGGGCATAATTACTTGAAACTTGGTATTAATGCTCTTCAATGATTAATGTTTGTATGAAACCTAATTTTTTTTGTAGTTTTAGCGCAGCGAAGCCGCTAGTTCTGCTAATATATTATAATCATGGCTTTGCGGAAAAAATTGAGAAAGATCAATCTTGTAAAATAAATTTTAACAGTACAATAGCTTTTGCTCTCGGCTCCACTTGTGTTGTATATTTTTTAACAATTTCTCCAGTCTACAAGTTATAAGCTCATTCTAAAAATATAGCAAATAAGCTTTATAAAATGCAAGAATAATTTTGTCAAAATGGTTGGAGTTGGTTAGAGGTTAGCGCGTTTCCCCCCAACGTGCGTTCACCTTGTCGTGCTCAGTAGTGCCCGGCAATCCCGCCGGGCGCGAAGCCAAGAAACGCATGGGGAGGTGGCCCACCTCTGTAGGCGGTGTGCTATGCGGGTTGCTCCTGGTACTTCTCTGATAGCACAGTGGACCGTGAAGCAACCCCACGGCTGTTGTGGTCTGCTTCAGCAGACCCTGTCATCGGGGCATCGTAGTTGAGTGCATAAGCGATCCTGCAACGCCCCATTAAGACGGGGGAGGTTCCGTTGGGTTTTAGTGGGTAGTAATATTTACCGGTGACTTTATTTACATTGTGCCTAAATGTATTTCTCAACGTTAAAAAAAAGAGGTTAGCACGTTAAAAAGACAGATTAACGCAGACTATTCCGATTTATAATATTGAGTATAAAATCTGCAATATTTAAATCTATAATATTTAGTACTAGCGGTCTGTCCTGGCTCCGCGCTCAAGCGCGATGCGTCCTTTAGATGATAACTTTTGCATTTTATTACAATCCCCAGGAATCACTTGATATAACAGGATAAAAGAAGCCTATCTGGCACAAGGGAATGTTAGGTCCTATTAGTTAAAGAATTTAGAATAATTTAATTATTTGGGTAAGTCAAGCCTAGAATTTTGAAAAAGTCTTTAAGTTCAAACGTAAGCGTTTTTTTATGTATCTATCAGATTCGGACGAAAGTAACCCGCCTGAGTACGAGTATCGCAGAATTTTACAAGAATTACCACAGGATAGAACATATGATAATAAGAATGGAAGTTGCTGATGAGAGTGAAATATATGTTTAAAATTACAATACTCAACCAGAGACACTGGTGAAAGCTAGGTTAAAAAATAAATTTCCAAGTAAACATTTATTTCAAATTACAAAAATTAGCTGATACATGTGTAAATACACACCTAGTTACTGATATCAGATAGCAACGGCGTCCAATGGCCATTTGTCGCAATTAACAGGCGAAAGTTAATCTGGCCGGCTCGCGCGTCGCGACGCCCTAAATCACCCGGCAAGCTGCATTGTGACGCTGCAGTGTGGGCTGGTCTATGTTGCCAATAAATAGCGTAACATTTTTGGATTGGTCTACTTTATGGTTTTAGTTTTAGTTTACCATCAATTTCATTTCAGGAATTAAAAAAAAACATTTATGAAGTTAAACTTTTTTTGGCACGTTTGGAAAAAATTATGAGTAAAATTTTTACGATGCGCGCGCACACCGACAGCCAAAAATTGACATAATGAAGTTAGCTGAAAGCGACATTATGAAGTTTGTATTCCTTTTACAAACAGAGGGTTTTGACATACGGAACGAAGTTTTTAGCTATTTTTGTTCTGTTCCGCCAAAGAAGTATAACTTCTTACGTACATACATCAGTACACACACACGTTTTTTTTTTAAATATTTATATCTTTTATAACTGACATATATTTTTAATGTAATAATACAAACTATAATGAAAAATAATGTATAATGTATTAATCTTATAGTAGGTATAGTCATATAAGTTATAAAAATTAAACATGGCGTTTGAATTTTTGAGCCAATACTTGTAAGTATTTTAATTCTGGCTATCACTACTTATAGGAACTTGAGTCTCGGCATTTACGAGTATATTCATAATATAATTCTCCATACATGATTTTTTGAAAAATGCTGTGACTCACAGCTAATTTGAACGTGGAAATTTAAAAAAAAAATAGCACGTACGAAATATCTAAGAGATTTTCTCTTCTGTCACTTGGAAACCCAGGATGACGTCACCGCCCTTAGAATTTCCCTTATACTTTCATCAAATCCCGACACAGCTCAGTGCGATTATTCACACGATGAGCCAGCGCTTCTCAATTTATTCAGAACTAAAAAGTAATATGACTCATATTGTAGTTCTATAATTTTTTTAAAGGATGTTTTATATAATATAGTTACTATTAAGGGTAGATTTGTATTGTTCGAATTTTTTATTTTTGTATTTTCAAAGTATCTTTTTTTCTTATAAATAAATTACATAACTTATATTGAAAAATAAGGAAAAATACAAATACCATTAGATAGATAGATAGGTATTTATTATTTTGTTACTTTATTTAATATACTAGTGATGTATTAGTTTTAAATTAAATTAGAATTCACTGAATTTTAAAGTATTTCAAAAATTTTAAATAAGGAAGAGCAGTTTACTGTAAAAACTTCATACGTATAAAAGTATCTTTTTTCTTAAAGTGCTATCTATAGTCAGTACGAGTTTTTAAGGTATTAAGCTTTTAAAAAAACAAAAGTAAATAAAGGCTTGAGTAATTCGTCAAGATTAAGTATAATTT